TAATGCCCTCCGGGTTTGTGGGAGCAGAGTTAGAATGGTTTCAGGATCTAGCCTGTGTGGTGTCCACTGTGACTGAATTGGGAAGAGGTTGTTTAGACAGGAAGCTTGTGTCAGCTCCTTGCATTTTATAGAGGTTCTCTACCCTTCTTATAGAGGATCTCTACCCTCTACCCATAGAGGTTCTCTACCCTTCTTATAGAGGTTCTCTACCCTCTACCCCACGAAAAGTCGGACACGACTAAATGACTAGACGACGACCCTTCTGGAGATCTGTGGTAAGGATGAAGGCTTGGTGCTTCCTCGACTCCAGATAGTATTGTGGGTGTATTGGTTCATCCAGATAGCACTCAGGCCAGGGCTCATAGTAAGTCGGTTGATCGTACAGAGTCACATCAAGGGTGGCGGTGATAATACTGAAATTCATATGGGGCAACCAGCATCAATCTCGTTGGTGCCTGGGAGCACTCCATGTCATAGTAGTGCTGAGAAGAAGTGTGATGGATTTCTGTCGAGCGCTTATGAGATGAAGGTGCCTCCCATAAAGTCCAGGCTGGGTCAGATTGTTGGCCTGTTAATGAGTGTCCCAGTGATTTGGGACTCATGCGCATGGACTACATATCAGCAGTAACCTCAGCCAAGGTATTTTCCCAGTCAGGTGATTGACTAAACTCAGGGACTGTGCATGGCCAGACTGGTGGGAGAGGAATGTCCTCATTCCCTGGTGGTGAGTCCAGGTAGATTGGTTCCAGTAGTGGTTCCTCTGAAATGGGAGAAGGTAACCTGACCGTGCCAGGAGGATATGTTTAGTTGAATGGCTTGGCGTGTCTGAAGGCTTCTTATTATTATTGGATGACATGGACACTGGGGAAACAGTTAAACCCAACTTCATGTCTGAGCTCAGTTTTGATGTCCAGGCTGAATGCTTGGATTTGGAGTATGAGAAGTGCCTTCAGCTTGGTTGACGCCAGTTTCAATGTAGAAGATGCTGGTTCAATGGATGGTGTGTGACCCTGGGGTTAGGTGGGGTCAATTTCCATTGTCTCGCACAGTTTGAGAGATTTTTCCCAGAGAAAGAATAGGAGGCATTGTTGGTAAAGTTTCAGACCTGGTTTGGTGAGACTTTTACAAGCCTGGCAGGAATGGGTCTGATGTGCCTCTCCTAGGCAAAAATAACTTTCTGAGTGTCCATCAATATATACCATAATATTTTTTTTCATGATACATATTGGTTGAAATCCTGTTGGTGTAAATTTACACCATGCAGGCTGGAGAATGTCATTACCCAGAGACAAATATCTTTAATTTAATTAAATTGAAGATATCCTTTTCCTGACAATAATGTCATCCATCTTGCATGGCATACATTTACACCAAAAGGATTATATATATATGTAGCCTGATTAAATCAAGACTTTCTAAATAGGGATTTAAATTAATTTGGTTGCAATTATATAGCCCGCCTTGGCTGTTTTGGAGAGAACTACCTACATTTTCCCAAAAAGGTGTACAGAAACACTTTAGCAGATTGTCAGCTGTGAGTTATTTCCCAATGTTCCCTGGTACAATCAAGAATCTTTTGATCTCCATCTGCTTCTTGGCATTCAGATATGTTTGTAATGACAGAAAAGTAACAATGTGTGAAATACAACGTTCTGGTCAATGCTTGATAATTTAATCTGTAATTGATGTACAATTTATTATAAATTGTTATAACTGTTATTATAAAATAAATTGACATCAAAGCAAAAATAAAAGCAAAACCAAGCCTACCAAACATTACCTGTCCTTGCTTGTGCTTCCTGGAACATATCAAAGGCAGGTGTCAAGAAATTCCCAGCCTCAACTGAATCAGTAACCACTTTATAATCCCATATTTCCAAGTACTCAGCCTGTCAGATTTTTCATCCCATTCATTAATCACGGTATCAAGGCATCTTAATACCCACCAGGAGAGAAATATCATATCAACTTGGAACAAAAGATCTGCTTTTTCTGAGAAAGGCACTGATATGTTTAGGAGGAATTATGTTGGTATGTTTATCATTTACTGGCCAAAAACTTATTAGTTACATCCAAAATAGCTAACACATACAGGAGGCATGTTTCTTTTAAATTAAGAAATCAGCATAGACATTATGTGTCATTTACCAAGTCACACAACTCAGTGCACAACAAATAATGTCTGCGTTGAGACAAGTCTTCCTTAAAACTTACGCCATTTGCATTATGCTTGTGTAAAATGACAATAGGATTTTGGCCACCCTAAAATTTGAGCAAGGGGAACAAAGGATTAAGAATAATATTGCGAAGTCAGTCCTAGAATGTCTAAAGGTCCCTGAGGGATAATCAATGTCCTGTTTCCTCCTGATCTTAGATGACAGCTTTCCATTTTGATTTAATTTTTTTGAAAAGTAGTTTGCTTGAAGTCCGTATGACATTTGCATGTGAGGATTGCACCCAATGGCATACTGGACTTCCCAGCAAACCTGATACAGGCTGTTTCAAAATGGGTGTGTAGACAAGCTCTTAGTTTATTTTCCTGCTTCCTGCTTTTTCTCCCAGAGTAATCCTCAATTCCCCAGCACCCTTGATTGCTGAATCTTACAGATCTCTGAAACCCTCTTCCTTATTCCAAAATGTGGTGCGATGAAAAGAGCAAGGAAAAGAAGCATCATAAATTATTCTAAATATATTTGCATTGACTATTTATTAGCTGTCAGGAGAAACATATGGCTCTAGAGTCAGAGTTCATTATTTAAGAGTAACAGAATAAGAGACACATACTGTATTGTGTGTAAATAATTTATTAAATAATACGTCCAAATAATGTTGATACTCACTATTGAAACATGTATGGCAATGTACTCATGAGGTCTATTTTGTGCAATGCAGTTTTATCCAGATCTTTGCTTTTTGGTGAAGTATATACTGTACTCAGTCTAAAAGAACTTCTTACAGGATGGATTATAAACAGCTTCTATTGTTATAATACAATTTGTGTGAAAACTGACAATATCTCATATACAGTCAAGACTACACATATCCTTAAACAGTGACATGATCTAGCTTTAGATGCACGAAGGTAGGCCAGTGAAAGTGGCCTTCTCTTCCTGTTCCCCTCCCAGCAGCTTCCCCATCCTTCTGAAAATACTATACAGTTGGACACTGGACTCAGCTAAATAGGGTGATGCAGGGGAAGCTTCCTCTGCATGATTTGCCCTCCAACACACTTCAGATTTTTACATTCATCATGGTTTTCTAAGCTTGGTACTGGGGCTGTTTGTGAAGCTGTGGGGAGCTACTATGAGGTGGAGTGTTGGGAAGGAACATTTACACAAGCTAAGTTGCAAGTATCTAACATTAGATCCCTTGTAACATAATTTAAGACTTAGACATTTCATATGATAACATCACAACTGGAAAGAACAGTAAATCAAAACTGAAAACCAAGAAATGAAACACCACACTTAAGAATGAATAACACAGGATTGTAGCTTCATTGTACTATTTCCTAACACGTCTGAAATACTAATAGAGCACGGATGAAAGAAATTACACCTCTATTTTGGCATTATGAAACTGCCCAGAATACTAACATCAGCAGAGGAGTATTCTAGGCCCACACCCTCCATCATAACTCCTAGTGCCCTCCTGCAAATGGAGGTGAAGGGATTGAAGAGGGAGAGATTCTGTTATCCATGAGGGCTCTCTATATGAACTCGGACTCTGGAAATTATTGACTCATATAATGACACCACTCCATGTATGGCCCTCTTCAGACTTGTCACCCACCATGTATGGCAGGGTGCCAAAACCAGAATAAAAGGAATCCTCTCACTCTATGCTTGGTTATTCTGCATGGTTTTAAGATAAAGTCATGAACTTAAATCCTATGCCTTAATGAGCTTCAGGGCAATGGATTTGGCTTGGAACATACTTTTTATTAATTGCTTCCAAACTCATGTGCATGAAACATTGTATAAATTCACATGGGAGAATAGGGAAATTCCTGCATTTGAGTTGATGTACTTTTGTCAGGACCCCACTGAGTTCTGGCATATTTTGCGGTATTTCTTTAAGCATGTAATTTGCAGACTAGACGATTATACATTTTAACCACTATAAATTATTTCTATAAAAATAAGATTCTGATCAGTATTTCAATGTGACTATTAATAACTCTTTGCTCTCAATTTTAATTTGATTTGATTTGTCTTGATTTTAACTTATTGGCTGAAACGTTATGCTGTGCAAGGCTGATGTTGTAATCAGCTGCAGTGACTTTTCCAAAATTACAAATTTCTAATTCTCCTCCCACAGATTCCAAGACATCCTTGGGATCCCTTCTTTCATGAAGAAGCTGTTGGGGACCATGGAATGGCAGGGCAGGGGAGTCTTTAATTTCAGAAAATTCATTGCTGCTTTGATGGTTTTTAGTAGCAGTGGTAATTATTTGAAATTAAATATTCCACCACCACCCTGCAGCCTCCTCCAACAGTTTCCTCATGAAGAAAGGGAACCCAGGGGAGCCTCAGGACCTTTGAGGAAGTAAATCAGATATTGGTGATTTCTGAAAAATAGCCACAGCTGATGGTGGCATAAGCTTTATGCAGTATAACCTAAGCAAGAGAATTTCAGATGACATGTTTCAATTTCAGCTGATTATTTTGAAGATATATGCTAGGATGGTGTACATCCGTATCAAATATATGTGTTAAATAAGATAATGTAAAGGTAAGGGTTCCCCTTGACATTTAGTACAGTCATGTCTGACTCTAGGGCGCGGTGCTCATCCCTGTTTACAAGCCACAGAGCCAGTGTTTGTCTGAAGACAGTTTCCGTGGTCACGTGGCCAGCGTGACTAAGACATGGAACGCTGTTACCTTCCCCCTGTGGTGGTACCTATTTATCTACTTACATTTTTACATGCTTTTGAACTGCTAGGTTGGCGGGAGCTGGGACAAGCGATGGGCGCTCACTCCGCCATGTGGATTTGATCTTACGAGTGCTGGTTTTCTGACCTTGCAGCACAGAGGCTTTTGCGGTTTAACCCGCAGCACCACCACATCCCCTGTTAGATAAGATGCTATTCACCAGTTAACATTTTCTAAAAATATTTTAACAATCTTTTTCAAACTTTGGTGGAAATGAAACATATTCCCTCCAGTTAAATTAGAGGGTACATGAGCCCCAATTTGGGCTCTAGCAAGGGGTGAAAGGTTAAGCCTGTATTTCAAGACTCCAAATTCATTTTATTTGATGTTTAGAGGTTAGTTCTAAAAGTTCAGAGAAAGCTAGTAACACCATAGGAATTATGTCTGCTTCTTTGGGAAGGCCTGCCCCCCACTCTCAGAATAAGGTGGGACGACAATAATCATATATCTTAATTGTACAGTGTTTCCAGGTGCTCAAAGTGCTTCATGTTCATCTTCTAGTTATAATTCTTATGATAATCCTATAAACCACTATTATTACCCTATATTGCAGAGGGAATGAATAGGGATGAGAGGGAGGGAGGGACAGAGGAAGGCTTGCCTAGGGTCACCTAGTGAATTCCTAATTTATTCCTCAGTATCATAACTACTATGCTACAACAGCTCTCAGCTAAATGATTTGGTATATTAAATCTAACATTAATCAGCTACATAATATACTTGGGGACTAGAGACATTCGCTATTTCTATTGTTCCCAAACTAACTTTGTCTCATCACCATGATCTCAAAACATTTGCAATATATAAATAAGTACCACAGCCTACTTCTGGAACAAATACATTCTGACAATATATGTGTGTATATATATTTATCATATATATATGTATATAATCTTATAAATATACTGTATACTCAGTTACAGGTTTTTGGATAGTAATAGCTATAGTACATATACAAGCAGTATCTTTATTCAAAAATACAGTTCTAGGGTACTCTAAGTCTTACTATTAACAAAAGACAGAATTAAACTTGCTCAATAGAATATATGGATACACAAAGAGGAAAAATATATCTACAGATGGAATCCTGAAGAAATTAGGCCTGGTATTCCACTAAATAAATGTTAGCTGGTTAATAAATAATTAACTGAGCCTGCAAACATTTTGCATGTAACAGTGCACACAATGCTGTACACATCTACTCATAAGTAAGCATTCCTAAGCTCAATGGGTAAGTGCATAGCAGACTACAAAGGCTATGATTCTGCACACACTCACCCAAGAATAAGTACAATTGAGATCTATAGGACTTACCCCCAAGTAGACGTGTATAGATTTGCAACCTAACACAATAGTTTTGAATAATAATAAGAAAAAGAAGAAAGAAAATCGTCTTCTGTTTTTTGGTGATGCAAGCATGCCTCAGAACATGACCTGTCTTAGAAGCTTTATTTTATTCATCTATAAAATTAAAAGTTGAATGCTATGGATTCATAACACTTGCATTAAAATTATTAGAAATCTTTTTAAAAAAATTAAAATTAATTGAAGGATTTTTCATCAATTAGAATAGTTTGATTAAGTTGAGTTGATTAATCATCTAAATCCTGCAGCCCTCAGATAAATACATCAATAAATTCACAGAAGAAATAAACTGGTGAATTATTAAAACTGGACTTCACAACTGTGTAAAATTCTGATGACAAGATATTATTTAAGATATATGAGTTTTTTTAGTTGTAAAGTTTTTAATTGGTGCATTTTACTCAAATTGTTTCTCTCTCACACAGGCCTCAATCTAGATGATGAGATTTGCACATGGAACCACACTTCTCTAAAAGCATCACTTGTCTGGGTAAAGAACCATCGGCATAAAAAGTTTGGATGGCATCCAATTGTGGATGTGGCATATCCACATTGCATTGCTTTGAATGGGGATGTGCAATCTAATGCACAATTCATCTATATTCTGATGCACTAGCCACAAATAAATACCTTCAAAAAGTGCAACTACAGCTGAATCAAGGCTACAAACTTTGGACAGTCTTCACTCTTGGCATTAGCCCACCTTGCATCCGTCTGACAAATTCATGATAGAGTATCATTGTACAGAGTGCAGGATTGGACCATACATTCATTCATTCATAAGCTTTGACTATTCTGTTTTCTTAAAAATTTAACAATAGTTTATATTGACAAATCTTACCATACGACAGGAACAAAAGAAACCTTTCATCCTAAAACTTCAATACAGTGAAAAACCTCACAGGAAGAGTTTATTATGTTGTTGGCCTGCCAAAACAATTCCTATGGCAATCTTTCATAGTTTGCTGGTGAACACAGTTGTATTGTCATTGTTGCTGCTCTTTTATTGTTTGCTGGAATGTGAAGCACAGCTTTGTTGCCAAGTTGTCCAATGCTGGATTTAGAATTTCCTTCTTGAGAACCATCTGCAATCAAGCACACACATATGTGATCTCAGATCTGAATAAGTAGTAATGTATTGACTAACATCATCCTGGTCTTCTCTCCCCACCTCACTATCTTTCACAATTCATGTAGATACAGCCCTATCAGGCATCACACTGATGTATGGACAACATTAGTCAGAGCTTGGAGAAGTTACTTTTTCAGATTGTAACTCCTGTAATCTCCCAGCCAGCAGGAAGATATATATGTGCCCCAAAAGAAATTTGTCCATGCTTTGGCTTTAACAAAGTGGGGACAGGAATAGCCTCAGCAGTTCAGTGTCCTAAAATACTTTTCACTGGGCCCAGATTGTGGATCATAATCAGGAAACACAGACAATCACAAATCTGGTGTCTGGGTTTCTGCTTAACTTCTGCTATTCCTCTGGAAAGCAGGTATGAATTGGTTTAAAAGAAAAGCATTAGAATGTATTAAAAAGCAGTAATAGTGAATGCCATTTATTTCTTGAAGCTACATGACAGATATTTTAGGTAAGGATTGACCCAAAAACCTATTGTAAAGCAGAAAATGGAAAAGTCCCCCTTCCCCCAATATGTCTATTTGATTAAAGGCAAAACACCTTTTGAATTTAGCTAGGGAAAAATTTGGATGAATGGCCAGAAAACAGCATGCTCTTAGGGCTGCTTTTCAAACTAGTCCTTTAAACTTTAGGTGGAAAGTAAAGTGGAAATCATCATCTTTCTACTTGATCATTTTTTGAATGAATAAACTTGAGCCTGAACTGAGATTGTTTTCTTCTTCTTTCTGTCTTTCCCTTTCCCCTCTTTTCTCCCTTTCCCTCATATTTCTTTTGTCTGCTCTCCACTCTATAGAAATATATGCGAGTGGACAGCCTGACTTGTAACTATATACACTACACAATACAGAGAAGACTCCCTGGAAAAGACCCTGAAGTTAGGAAAGTGTGAAGGCAAGAGGAGAAGGGGACGACAGAGGACGAGATAGCTGGACAGTGTCATTGAAGCAACTAACATGAATTTGAACAAACTCCAGGAGGCAGTAGAAGACAGGAGGGCCTGGCATGCTCTGGTCCATGGGGTCATGAAGAGTTGGACACGACTTAATGACTAAATAACAACAACACACTACACTAACTTAATGAGCAAAAGCTACAGTTGCTACTAAAAATAGTGGAACAACCTGGGGGCTCCCATGGGAAGATTATAACTTTGTCATTTTCAGTAACAACAGGCATCTTAATTGGGAGAAAGGCAACAAACAAGCAAGTAACATCTGAAGCAGGCATGTAGCAAACATTCATGATATGTCAAGTCCTTACCAAGGGGAGGGATTAAAGCAAGACCAAAGAATACTCTCACCTACGACATATGGTTTTGCTGTGTATTTTGCTGTTGCTGTTGCTGCTGAATAAGTAACTGTTGCTGTTGCCTGCGGCGTGCTGTCCGCAGTTTTTCAAAGCGAGCCTCCATCTCATCCAGCACCTTTGGAGTGTAGCGTACCACCAGCTTGACAGTGTCTTTAGCAGCTTTCAGAAGTTCCACAGCTTTTTCATGGTGCTCTCCTTCCACACTCTGGTTATCAAAAGAGGATTTAACAGTTTAAAAAATGCAAGCAGTAAGGTGTTTTTGAGCCCTGTAAAAGAGAATTTGAATTGGGTTGATGTCTCGATCCTGATTGCCCCCAGGCTGCACCAACTCACAGCCTTGGAGAATGGGAATGCAGAAGAATGAAGGTGGGAAAACAACAACCCCTCATTCTGGCAGCTTGAAAAGGACATACACTCTGAGTAGAGTGGCTGGAATACGAATAAAGAAACAGGAAGATACAAAATGCACATCTGGCAAACAAAATAAAATATTTAATAGCGACCTTGCAGAGAGATTGTGAATAAAGCATGTATAGCAAAAATAAAACAAAAGAGTTCAGGAATCTAGAAGACTATTACAGCTATGCCAGTGTAATTCTAATGGCACAACTTTCAGAGGTCAACTGCTTCAAATTAAGAAATTACTCTGAACATTAGGTTTTGGTAATGTCTACATTAAACTCAAATCTTGAGAAACAATTCATCTCCAACAGTTACACTATTAGCATGTTGCCAGTGCAGCTACCCAAGACAATTTTGACCATCACAACATTTTTGTGGATTACAGTCCCTACAAACACAGGGAGTTGACAATAATTTTTGCTCTTTTCAAGGGGACTCACTTCTAAGTAATTTTTTCAATGACTATCTGAGCGATCTGCAGGAATGTGTTGGCTGTCTATGCACTATACACAATGGTATGCCTGCCAGCCATGCCCATTGACATCCATGTGATAGCACTAAGGCATTATCTCTGTAGCTATGCTATTGTTAGGCACTGGCACCTTTACGGCATTTGTAAACACAACTTGGCATGTAAAGTAGTCTATAATCCATAGTTAAAAAGCCCATGGAGTTTTTTTTTAACCTTCATTTATTTATTAGATTTCTATCCCGCCCTTTTAGACAAAGTCTACTCTGGGCAGGTTCCAACTTATGCCAATTTCCATTCAAACATTATGCCTATCAGGTTCTAGAGTAATGCTTCCCTCTTCCATAGGTCCTCCAGAGATAATGCAGACCCTATAGATTTTGAAGAAGTCGAGGATTTGGCAGAATAGACATTTGTCTCCATAGAGAAGAGTTTTATTTGTTTGAAACTCAAATATTTAACAGCACTTCTGAACATCTTTAGATAAATATTCTAGCCCACTTCTGGGGCTATATTTTAGTTACATACCACTCATGGATAGTTCTCTATACAGTGGTGCCCCGCATGATGACGATAATCCTTTCTGTCAAAATCACTGTACAGCGAAATCATCGTCATGCGAAAAAACCCCATTGGAATGCATTGAAAACCAGTTAATGTGTTCCAATGGGGAAATACCTCATAGTCCAGCAAAGATCACCCATAGAGAATTGCCGATCAGCTGTTTACAATAGCTGTCTTCTGAAGCTTATGTCTGGAAAACAGCGAACAAACAGTTCACGAAATAGGGACCTAATCAACGTAAAGCGGATTTCCCCCATAGGAACCATTGTTTTGCGATCACAATAGCGATCGCAAAAAGTCATCGTCACGCGATTTCGTTGTTTACCGGGGTAAGCGTCTAGCGGGGCACCACTGTATTCAGAAACTTAAATTTCCTTCACATTCTTACATTTCTAAGCAGAACAACCAAAATGAACCTTAATATGTTCTCTTTATTCTTTAGATTTTATATTTCATATATAAACAAAAAAGCAATATAAGAATGTAAAAATGCCAACCCTGTTACTTTAGTGAAAATTATTATAAGAACATCACCATTCTATATTTAGTCTTAAAAAACTTTGTGCATATGCCATTTATCTTTATATACTATTTGAGTAGGTAAACATGATGATTATTATTAATATTCAAGACACAGTCAATCAAAATTATAAAAGCATTGACTGGTATTATATAACTGATATAAGTTTTAACCAAAAATCTAAGTACCTGTTAAATATCGGCGCAGTATGTATGCTGTTTCTAATATTGTCGGATTTTGTAGCTCTATGGTGTTATTTCTGATATCTACAACTGCTTATGATACTATGCGAAATTTCTTGATATTGTTCCCAAAGCCCCAATTCAATCAGTAGTTTCTGTGTTTTTCAATCCATATGATTATGATTATTTCAGTCCATAAACTGCCCCATACTGCTAGAGCACTCTCTAAACAAATTTCAAGCAATCTTAAATATAAACTAATATACTGCTTAAGAAAATACAAGAGAATATTCATAATCTTTTGCTATTGTCTGGTGGAATAAAGAATAATTGGAATATTTTTTTTTCCATAAAAATTACTTTTGATAGACCTTTTTGTGTAACTGCACAACAGGATTTTGGGCCATGATTGGCTTTTAGATTTATTTTTTTAAAATTGGTGGTTGGATTTTTTCTTTAAGTTATAAATCACTGACTGGCATCTTTAATCTTTTTTTTTTACTCATTAAGATTCAAAACACAGTAGAACTTCTTATTTACTACACTCTTCCACTATAAATAAGCACAGTTGAGAACAAATTTTAAAATAGTGCAAAGTGTTCACATACCACTCCATTAACAGAAAGCAGCTGGTCTCCCCGTTTGAGTCCTCCATGCGTCTCGGCTACTCCTCCAGGAATTATGCGAGAAATATAAATAGGAGAATTTTGCTCTTTTCCTCCCATCACATTAAAGCCAAGGCCTTCATCAGTCTTTGGAAGTTCTACCACTCGAGGGTGAGAATGACCTTCACTGGCTGCAAAAGCAGCAACTGTTGCCTAGAAGAAAACGCAGTTCTTTATCATATCATTAAAATTACCACTGTCAGCTTTGTTTAAAAAATTCATTTGCTGAAAAGCAATATCTGACTTCATTTTGTTTTAGAACAAATAAGCCAGTATTCTTTTAAATAAAAAGCATTGATACTGGAAATTTACTGCCCAAGACCTCCATGCTCAATTATATCTTAGCAAAACTGTCATAAGATCAACTTTAAGCAATGAATTTTATTTGTGCTCAGTTCTTCTCATGGAGTTCCTGCATATGTAAATACTCCCATTCCTAATATTGCTCCCCATTGCACACACAGGAAAATACAAAGATCAGTTCTATTCTCTGCATGGTGATACTTTTCTAAGCAGGTGATTCTCTACATGTGCATCAGAGTTTCCATTTGCAATTTTTAGAGTGAAGTGAAACTTAGCTATGTTGGACATACTGTTCATGTTAAACCTGGGTATTCATGAGTACAAACACCTACTGCCTGTTATGGAAATTGACAACTGAAAAATGTAATCCCCCCACCAGAATGCATAGGCATTTTCTTCAGCCAAATGGCTACATTTTATTTTCCAAAAATTATTCAGAAATGCTTGAACGCATTTTATCTGCAATCCAACTTTCCACAAAGTGCTACATACTGAACCTAAACCTAGCAGGGAACCTACATGAAACACTCCTGAACACTTAGGAGCCATTCATGTGCCAGAGTTGTACACAAGCAGGGGAATTTCTAGACGATGTGATGTTAACGATGTCTAGCAAAATAATCCAATTGTAACAGTTAATAATAGCAGTTGGTTCATTTTTAGGGATCCTTGGATCACAGCATCAGTTGAAATGAGGAACACTGGTAAGCCAGAATTACATGTTTAATTTTTTTGATAGGGGCAGTATGCCTTATGTTTTAAAGAGTAAACCAGAAGGTTTACATTATGGAAACAGTAATCTGCTTTACTCTGTGACGGGTTGCTTATCATAGTTATATGATAAACAACCTAGTAACATTAGGCATGAGCAAAAATGTACATCTAACTCTGGGGCAACTACTAGTTGGAGGAAGGAACTGTTAACTTTCAGCGTGATGCAAGACAACAGATCCTTTGTATCTCATTTGCCCTTTGTAGAGTTAAAAAGATGGTCAGGAATTTGAATTAAGGAAAAGGACAAAAGAAAGTGATATTGTCAGTTGAGTTACTAATACCAAAGTAGCAGATGAATGACAGCTGAAGTACCCAATAAAGCTCAAAATCCCTGTTGGACACTCCCATTACTGAAGTTCTGGGAAGGGCTCAGATGGAGGCCACTGCATGGTACATATAACCACTTGCAGCTCTTCCACCAGCCATTTCAGAAAGCTGTAGGATGAAGAAAAAGACTTTCAGCATTATTTAGTTAACTTTTTTATGTTCTAAAATTTTCTTCCTTGTCTTTGTTCTCTCAGCTTAGTTTACCAGACTTTACAAAAATATTATTACCATATTAAGATTTACTGATAGCAGAAGGGTGATTGTTGTATAGGCTTTTGAGTGGCTAGATCACACAGTGAGGGCACTGCATATTCTCCCCAGTCCACTGCCTCTTCCATTTCCTGCCATTTGTTGGATTTTCTTTTTAAAAAACAATGAGATTTGTGTCACAGGTATCAGGATACTCATTAAGAGTACAGTTTGGGTTGATCTGGATCTACTGTACACACCCTTCACTGAGTAAAAAGGAGGTCAGAGGATTCTGCCTACTCTTATTTAACAGGCAGAACAGAATCCATTCAATGTGTTTTCAAGTTCCACTTGAAGTTAATAGAAGAGATTAAGAACATACTTACTTTTCCCATCAAAAGTAAATTGGACAAGACAATGTTTAACTTTGGCTGGATTCCAAAACTCCTCTCCTAAGAGGGTACTTAATTCTCCATTAAGATTAAGAACATCACCTCTCACTTACATAAGCAACATTTGTGGTCATGCAAAATTTGTCATCATGCACACAGTAAATGTCAGACCAAAAAAAGGGGGGGAAAAAGCAATGCAGACAGCCCAGAAATAACCAGGAAGTATAGTGATATCAATACATTACTCTACAATCCTGCTGCTCTATATGAATAAGAAATGAGAATGGCAGATCTTCTTGGGACATTTTCACTTTTGACTGTACCATGTGATGACAACTGTTTTAGTCCACAGCAAAATAATCTAGAGAATTCCTGTCTAAAATCAGTAATTAGAAATAACAGAAATATCTTTATAACAGTCACCTGGTATCCAACTCAAGCCATTGCCACAACAATGAAAAATTCTGCTTAATTAATGTAAAATTAATGTTAAAAATGCTGCATGGCTGAGATAGTTTTCTTTTTAAAACTAGAAATTTAATAGGATGCTGTGTTTATGACTTTACTAATATACTTAAAACAATGTTTTCCCTGAACAATGTCTTAATGTCATTTAAAAATAATTGGATGCTATCAGTGGCTTTAGTGTGCAGGTGAATTAGCATGTTTTCCTCAGACACTGCAGGTATATGGTTTATGTAAGTTCTAGCTATATTAGTGATAAAGAAAGGGATTTATTCCACAGGAAAACACTTTTTTTAATTACCATCACATATTCCTGTACAATGGAAACACAAAAGCACATTTCTGGTTTAGCTACAAGGACATTATATCTCTCGACGCAGGAAGCTTACACTTTTTAAATAAAGAAATATTCACAAAGCATTACTATAAGGCAACTCCTTAGAGGTCTGACTGTTCTGAAGATAGTATAAACAAAAAGTGCTGTTGAGAGGACTTAGCTATAAAGGCACTAGCAGCTGATGTATCATCCTCTGCAATGAAACAGTAGATTCAATTAAAAGTTGACTGCCCCCCAACCCCACAAGTTTCTTAATTCTATAAAGCATTCTCTTTTCTTAAGCCACAGAAGCAGCACAAAGGTTGAATTTGCCATTATGTTTGTTACCTGGGAAGTAGCACTGGTTCTAGACTCTGGGCTGCCACTGATGTCTAAATTTTCTTACAGTGTACACACGAATACCTGAAACATACACGCGCACAGTCAATTACTAGGCCACGTTGGGAGTGTAGATTCTAAAGCTAGAAGGGTCCTACCTTTGCTGTTGCCCTGGCACGGAATTCTGGACAGCCATTAACATTTATGGTTTCATGCATATACTGATACACCTGAAGTGACAAGAACAGAAAGAATGCAGAATTACAGGAACAAAATTAAAAATCCAGGGTCCCTCCATAAATCACAACTTTCAACAAAATTTAATGCTTGTTGCCCTTGTGATTTTCATCTTGCTTTGTTTGGTCCTAAAGATTCTTGATGTCCTACACAGTCTTTCTCTATACTTGGTTTCATAAATGTGCTTCTGGACCTTGTCTACATTCCGCCCTTTCAATACTGCAAACGTTAAGCGAGGCACCACTGTAGTGAAACAACAGCATTTTATACCTGGGGGAAATACATCAGTTTCTCAGAAAACGAGTGCCATTTTTATTGGTCTTGTACAATGTGGTTCTTTCACAGTAATATGTTTGAAACTTTTTGAAACTGTGACATGACATGCACTTCCCTTTCCCCAAACCTTCACTTTATAAATGATTATTCTAGACACGGAGGTTAATTGGCAAGTACTGCTATCGGACAGTGTTTCTTATTAATACTCTCCTACTTTATAGGCAACATTCTGAAAGGCAGTGAAAGAACAATGCTTTATGCGAAGTCACCCTTCTTTGGTCTAAAGGGCTATTTAGGGACAGCACTACCATTACAGAGTGTTTCAATTTTTCTTCTTGTTGCTTGCATTGTTTTGGGAGCCCTGGTGGTGAGGAAAGCAATAAACAGCTTCTCATTTACTGCAGGTTAATTTTTAAAACACTGATTAGAGTGTATGTTCTGTTGTTGGCCTTTTCAAGATTTTCATTTTGATGAGTCCCTGCCTCTATTTCCCACATCACTCTGCCCTGCACAACCGATCAGCAAATAAAAACATTAAGAGGTGTCTTTCTGTATCAGACCAAAAGCCTGTCTAGTTCACCCGTAAGCCAATCTGTTGCTTATAAAACCACACAAGAAGGACGCATGAGTGCAACAGCACCCTCTTGTATTAGAAGCTTTCCATGAGAGAGCAGTAGATACGCAATTAAGTTCCTTTCCAGTACAGTAGGTAGTTTGGAATTTAGTACTTTTGCTTGCAGAGTGGAACTACAGGGAAGGAAGTACTATTGTGCTCAGGTGGTGTGAAATCTGCTCTGACCTTATGGCCATCTGTTCTTTCTCTGCTGCATGCTGAGATCCCCTACATTAGTTGCTGACTCATAAATTAAGCTTTTTGAAACAAATACAACTTTACACTAAATTAAATTTACACCAAATTGCCTTCAGCAGACTAACTGGCATGTATTTGCATTCACCACTTCTTGACATTTACAACATGATTTCCTGAGAGAGAAAAAAGATCAATATTTTTGTTTTCTAGAATAAATCCTTCTGAGGGGAAAAGGCTACCTATTTTAAACTTACTGTCAACAGAAATGCAATTTATTTAATCTTATATAACATAGCCTGAGAATAGACACTATATATAAAACCATTATATCCAAATATTATACCATATAAGTATTGATTAAGGTATCAAAAGATTCATGCCGTTTACCTAACAAACCTTTTAGAATTGAATTTTTGATGTCCCAAAAAAGGTATTACTAAATGCTGTTTTATTAAATTTTACTTATGGACTACATGGCTTTCTGATCACTCGTAGAATGCACCATTACTCATATCATCACATATCAACAGCTAAAATGACTTTGAACAAACATCATATTTTTCTTCTATGCAGTACTTTAAAATGAAAGTTGCATGCATATAAAATTGTGAAAAACAAAACAGAAATGCCTAATGCCTTCCAAAGCTTATCACTGGTAAACAGCCAGAAAAAAAACTGCTTCCCCTCAAAGGCTGAAGGAAATACCATCCCAACATGTTCATGATTTATTTGACTTGACCCAACTCTCAAAAACATTGTTTTTTAATTTTAGAAGTCTGCAGCACAATATGAGCATGCAGTAACTTGCCATTTTCTAATAGGCACCAGAAAGTGACATGTGAGAAAAAAATCCCCCAAACCAGTGGCTCCCAAACTTTTTCAAGTCACAACTCCCTTTCATTATAGCCAAGTTTGCATAAACAGGCTGTAGTTGTCATTCCCTGACATGGTGGCACTTTTGTTCTTGTTTGCACTCCTACTGCTTCTGCTGCCAGTTCCACACCATCACTTCAAAACTGGGGAGGGAACAAATTGCAGGAGGTTAAAGGCAGTGAGAAGAGAAGACTTAGGACTTCAAACATGGGCCAGAGGGCAGAAGGAGGTCACGGTGCCTGGTGGGGCCAAAACCTTTGTGCATAGAGGATCCCCTCAGAAGTTGACAGGGAGTTTAACCTGCACCCACTGCAGAAGAGGTGGGCTGTTGATTTTTGTCTACGCCTCCTGGGGGGTTGTTATGTTATTTGATAAGAGTTTACAACACATATGAGATGGCCTGGGAAGGTACCTGACTTCAGATAAAGACAACTCAATGCTCAAAAGTGAATGCAGAGCTGATTATCAAATTAGGATAATTACATTTCTCTGAGTTGCTATCACTGTATACATTTTAAGTATCCACAAACCAGACTTAATACGGAAACTCAGTGCATGAGAAATACTAACCAGCATATTTATTAAATTTGAAATTATAACCTGGTAGTTCTAATCAAACACTAAATCTTCTTAAGACATCCTTAATCATTTCAGGACTAATTTAATACACCATGAGTTACTGGTGTGATAAATAATCAAACTGTAATCATTTTCACTTGAATGTTTGCTCCAAGTGAAAAATGTCCATGTTTAAATAATGCAATAGGTCATCAATTAATCTACAAAGCATTTCAGAGTCTGCTTGATAATATGTGTTGCTGCTGCAGGGGGAAAAAGATAGAGACTGTACAAATCCTTCTGCATTTGAGAGACACACTAGAGCAATAATACTGTACCTAGAAAAAACACACACACTTATTGGAAGTGGGCAAAAAAAATTGGTGGAGATGAAAATAATGATAGTCTGTGCCATCCTTGCAGAAAAGGAATGGGGAACCTGTAACCCTCTGATTCCCATTATTCCAACCAGCATAACCATGAGAGATGGGCACTCTAGTCCTACAATACTGGTTTCTCAGATTTGCTGTGGAATAAGATATGTTGCACTGGAATCAGTAAACAAAGAGGTTAAAGTTTGTTTATTATAAAATGATACAATTTGGTAGAGATGATGATTAGCTGCATTTCTTCCAACAAGGGACCCCAAGTGGTTTGCAGAGATTGCAGCTGTTATGATATTTGCAAGGGCCATGTGTTCTGATTACTTCTACATTAGCTGCACTGATCACCTATTCATTTCTGGACTCAATGTAAAGTGCAGTTTAGTTTCATTTTTATTTTACTTTCAAAATTTATGACCAAGTTCTAGAACCCATATCACTGCTAATGGCAGATCTCCAAACAGGCTGTTTCCGAAGGCACCTCCGGATCAGCTGCATCCAAAGCCTTCTCACTTCCAGACAAGCCCTTGGATTGTGCCTACCTCAGTGAAGTGGCAGTGAAGTGCCCATTTACAACCTCTGTGGCTACCAGTATGACTTGGGTCTCTATCCCAACTCACCACCAAGGAAAGTACCTCAATGTAGTTCTCAACCACGTGCAACTTTATGCAGTATCAGGCTGCACTTTCTATATAAAAGAAAATGCCTAATAAGTCTATAAAATGCACAGAACAACGTATAACAATTTAGCTATCTAGCAGATTTTATTGGACTCTCTCACTAGTGCTGCAAACTCAGCTGGTATATGAACATGTCCTCTCCCCACTTCCAAAACAGTATCCTATGCTGTTTGGTAGGATTCCCTTTAGACATCAGGACAATTTTTAAACTGGCCTCTAGCAAAACCTGCAGGTAGGAGGTGAAAACTCCGATACACTCACTCAAGATTTTGTATGTTCTAGGAAGTTCTTTAGACTATATTCGGTAGGAAAAGTAGACTTATTAACGTATTCTCAAAGGCTTTCTCAGCCGGGATCTGATGGTTGTTGTGGGTTTTTTTGGCTCTTTAGAAAGAGCCATCAGAATTATTAACAATTAGTATTTTTTAACCTGTACAAGAAAATTTAAGACTCTGATCAGTGACGGAGCATGTATATTGTAGACAGATTATTCTAGCTTCAATCCTTGGCATTTGTGTAGGGAAGGGTTCCCTCTTTTTGCTTCCTTGCTGCTTTTCAGACCTTCAGTGTATTTTCCTCAAAGAGAGAAGACATCTGGAAAAGCAGTTTGGGATTAAACTAGAGTGCTGACTGGCCAGTAGCTACCTTGTTTTGGAACAGCTATAAGCACTCCTGACCCTAGGGTTTCCACCTCAAACACTTAAGAAAAGGATACAAGATGAACAGGCGGGAGCTCTGTTTAACGTTACACTGATCTCTGAAATAAGAAGCCTATATTTTTCCAACATTAACTGTTTGTCTGTCTGTATGTCTCTCTCTGTGTGTTGTTAGCATATTTTAGCATAAACATTTGACTATTAAAGGCTCCACCCACCCACCCAAGGCTTCCAAAAGGGAGCCCTAGAGAGCTTCATAACATGACCTGGGCAGGATAGGAGGCTTTCAGTTGATTTAAATATGTCTGGTACCATATCTGGTTTACACCAGCACAAATTCATGGAAAAGGATTTTCCCACTGTATTTTCTTCCATTTCATGATGTTTTTTCCTCATAATTTTTCCCCTTAGGAAAATAATTGAAAGGACCGGTGACATGCTAGAGAGGATTACTAATGAAAGGCAATGATGACATCTGGATAACTCTTCACCAGGCTTTATAAAATGTCCTTGAATGAAGCAGATTAACTGAATGGGAAGAAGCTACAGCTAGCGGCACCTTTCCATTCTTCATTTTACTTGAAAAACAAAACAAAACAAAAGTTTCAAAATCCCAATGTACTGATAATACTTACCAATAATTTATGCTAACATGATGTGTAACTGTTGATCACATGAACTGATTTACAGTATTTATTTACTGCATTTTAATGCCACCTCAATTTGACTTAAAATTTAAAACAATCGGTACTAGCT